TTACTTAATCGACAGAATGTGAGGAAACTTAAGTCTCAAATTGATCAATGATACAAATGAGTTGCAGATTCAAAACTCTTTAGCAGATTTAACCAAAATCCAATCAGGGATAGGTTTCAACTATTCACTGCAACAGTATAAAAAAAAAAACATTTTACTTGATCGACAAAATGTGAGGAAACTTTGGTATCACTTGATCAAGGATACAAATGAGTTGCAGATCCAGTACCCTTCAGCAGATTCAGCCGAAATTCAATCAAAGACAGGACTTATTTATTAACTGCAACAGAAAAAAAAACATTTTACTCAATCGACAGTGTGAGGAAACTTTAGCATCAATTGATCAATGATACAAATGATTTGCAGATCCAAGTCTCTTTAGCAGATCTAATCAAATTCCAATCAAAAACAGGACCTATTTACTATTCATTGCAACAGTATAAAAAAACATATTTTACTTAATCGACCGAATGTGAGGAAACTTAAGTATCAATTGATCAATGCGACAAATTAGTTGCAGATCCAAAACTCTTTAGCAGATTTAACCAAAATCCAATCACAGATAGGACTTAACTATTCACTGCAAAAGAAAATATATATTAAAACATTTTACTTGATGGACAAAATGTAAGGAGACTTTAATATCAGTTGATCAAGGATGCAAATGAGTTGCAGATCCAAACTCTTTAGCAGATCTAATCGAAATCCAATCAAAAACAGGACTTAACTATTCACTGCAACAGTATAAAAAAACATTTACTTAATCGACAGAATGCGAGGAAACTTTAAAATCAATTGATCAAAGATACAAATGAGTTGCAGATCCAAAACTCTTTAGCAGATTTAACCAAAATCCAATCAGAGATAGGACTTAACTATTCACTGCAACAGTAAATATATATATTTAAAAATTTATTTGATCGACGAGAAAACTTTAATATCAGTTGATCAAGGATGCAAATGAGTTGCAGATCCAAAACCTTTAGCAGATCTAATCAAAATCCAATCAAAAACAGGTCTTAACTAGTCACTGCAACAGTATGAAAAAAAAACATTTTACTTTATCGACAGAATGTGAGTGTGAGGAAACTTTAGTATCAATTGATAAATGATACAAATGGGTTGCAGATCCAAAACTCTTCAGCAGATTTGAACAAAATCCAATCAGAGATAGGACTTAACTATTCACTGCAACAGTACATATATATATATATATTTTTAAAAAAAAAATTTTCTTGATCGACAAAATGTGAGGAAACTTTGGTATCAGTTGATCAAGGATACAAATGAGTTGCAGATCCAGTACCCTTCAGCAGATTCAGCCGAAATTCAATCAAAGACAGGACTTATTTATTAACTGCAACACAAAAAAAAACATTTTACTCAATCGACAGTGTGAGGAAACTTTAGTATCAATTGATCAATGATACAAATGAGTTGCAGATCCAAGTCTCTTTAGCAGATCTAATCAAAATCCAATCCAAAACAGGACATATTTACTATTCACTGCAACAGTATAAAAAAAACATTTTACTTAATCGACAGAATGTGAAGAAACTTAAGTATCAATTGATCAATGAGACAAATGAGTTGCAGATCCAAAACTCTTTAGCAGATTTAACCAAAATCCAGTCAGAGACAGGACTTAACTATTCACTGCAACAGAAAAAAAAAACATTTCACTTAATCGACAGTGTGAGGAAACTTTAGTATCATTTGACCAACATTGCAAATGAGTTGCATATCCAAAACCTTTAGCAGATCTAACCAAAATCCAATCAAAAACAGGACTTAACTATTCACTGCAACAGTATATAGAAAAAACATTTTACTTAATCGACAGAATGTGAGGAAACTTTAGTATCAATTGATCAATGATACAAATGAGTTGCAGATCCAAAACTCTTTAGCAGATTTAACCAAAATCCAATCAGAGATAGGACTTAACTATTCACTGCAACAGAAAATATATATTAAAACTTTTACTTGATCGACAAAATGCGAGGAAACTTTAATATCAGTTGATCAAGGATGCAAATGAGTTGCAGATCCAGTACTCTTTAGCAGATTAAGCCGAAATCCAATCAGAGACAGGACTTAACTTTTCACTGCAACAAAAAAAAAATATTTTACTTAATCGACAGAGTGCGAAGAAACTTTAGTATCATTTGACCAATGGTGCAAATGAGTTGCATATCCAAAACCTTTAGCAGATCTAACCAAAATCCAATCAAAAACAGGACTTAACTATTCACTGCAACAGTATATAGAAAAAACATTTTACTTAATCGACAGAATGTGAGGAAACTTTAGTATCAATTGATCAATGATACAAATGAGTTGCAGATCCAAAACTCTTTAGCAGATTTAACCAAAATCCAATCAGAGATAGGACTTAACTATTCACTGCAACAGAAAATATATATTAAAACTTTTACTTGATCGACAAAATGCGAGGAAACTTTAATATCAGTTGATCAAGGATGCAAATGAGTTGCAGATCCAGTACTCTTTAGCAGATTAAGCCGAAATCCAATCAGAGACAGGACTTAACTTTTCACTGCAACAAAAAAAAATATTTTACTTAATCGACAGAGTGCGAGGAAACTTTAGTATCATTTGACCAATGGTGCAAATGAGTTGCATATCCAAAACCTTTAGCAGATCTAATCAAAATCCAATCAAAAACAGGACTTAACTATTCACTGCAACAGTATAAAAAAAAACATTTTACTTAATCGACAGAATGTGAGGAAACTTTAGTATCATTTGATCAATGATACAAATGAGTTGCAGATCCAAAACTCTTTAGTAGATTTAACCAAAATCCAATCAGAGATAGGACTTAACTATTCACTGCAACAGTATAAAAAATTTTTTACTTAATCGACAGAATGTGAGGAAACTTTAGTATCAATTGATCAATGATACAAATGAGTTGCAGATCCAAAACTCTTTAGCAGATTTAACCAAAATCCAATCAGAGATAGGACTTAACTATTCACTGCAACAGTAAATATATATTAAAACATTTTACTTGATCGACAAAATGTGAGGAAACTTTAATATCAGTTGATCAAGGATGCAAATGAGTTGCAGATCCAGTACTCTTTAGCAGATTAAGCTGAAATCCAATCAGAGACAGGACTTAACTGTTCACTGCAACCGTATAAAAACAATTTACTTAATCGACAGAGTGCGGAAACTTTAGTCTCATTTGACCAACATGGCAAATGAGTTGCATATCCAAAACCTTTAGCAGATCTCACCAAAATCCTATCAAAAACAGGACTAAACTATTCACTGCAACAGTATATAGAAAAAACATTTTACTTAACTGACAGAATGTGAGGAAACTTTAGTATCAATTGATCAAAGATACAAATGAGTTGCAGATCCAAAACTCTTTAGCAGTTTTAACCAAATCCAATCAGAGATAGGACTTAACTATTCACTGCAACAGTAAATATATATTAAAACTTTTTACTTGATCGACAAAATGTGAGGAAACTTTCATATCAGTTGATCAAGGATGCAAATGAGTTGCAGATCCAGTACTCTTTAGCAGATTAAGCCGAAATCCAATCAGAGACAGGACTTAACTTTTCACTGCAGCAGAAAAAAATATATTTTACTTAATCGACAGAGTGCGAGGAAAATTTAGTATCATTTGACCAATGGTGCAAATGAGTTGCATATCCAAAACCTTTAGCAGATCTAATCAAAATCCAATCAAAAACAGGACTTAACTATTCACTGCAACAGTATAAAAAAACATTTTACTTAATCGACAGAATGTGAGGAAACTTTAGAATCAATTGATCAATGATACAAATGAGTTGCAGAAACAAAACTCTTTAGCAGATTTAACCAAAATCCAATCAGAGATAGGACTTCACTATTCACTGCAACAGTATAAAAAACATTTTACTTGATCGACAGAATGTGAGGAAACTTTAGTATCAATTGATCAATGATACAAATGAGTTGCAGATCCAAAACTCTTTAGCAGATTTAACCAAAATCCAATCAGAGATAAAACTTAACTATTCACTGCAACAGTATAAAAAACATTTAACTTAATCGACAGAATGTGAGGAAACTTTAGTATCAATTGATCAATGATACAAATGAGTTGCAGATCCAAAACTCTTTAGCAGATTTAACCAAAATCCAATCAGAGATAGGACTTAACTATTCACTGCAACAGTATAAAAAACATTTTACTTAATCGACAGAATGTGAGGAAACTTTAGTATCAATTGATCAATGATACAAATGAGTTGCAGATCCAAAACTCTTTAGCAGATTTAACCAAAATCCAATCAGAGATAGGACTTAACTATTCACTGCAACAGTATAAAAAACATTTTACTTAATCGACAGACTGTGAGGAAACTTTAGTATCAATTGATCAATGATACAAATGAGTTGCAGATCCAAAACTCTTTAGCAGATTTAACCAAAATCCAATCAGAGATAGGACTTAACTATTCACTGCAACAGTATAAAAAACATTTTACTTAATCGACAGAATGTGAGGAAACTTTAGTATCAATTGATCAATGATACAAATGAGTTGCAGATCCAAAACTCTTTAGCAGATTTAACCAAAATCCAATCAGAGATAGGACTTAACTATTCACTGCAACAGTAAATATATATTAAAACATTTTACTTGATCGACAAAATGTGAGGAAACTTTAATATCAGTTGATCAAGGATGCAAATGAGTTGCAGATCCAGTACTCTTTAGCAGATTAAGCCGAAATCCAATCAGAGACAGGACTTAACTATTCACTGCAACAGTATAAAACATTTTACTTAATCGATAGAATGAGGAAACTTTAGTATCATTTGCCCAATGGTGCAAATGAATTGCACATTCAAATCCATTAGCAGATCTAACCAAAATCCAATCAAAGACAGGACTTAACTATTCACTGCCACGTGTTTTTCTGTCTTCTTGCGTTTGAGCATTGATAAAAGTGTCAACTCACCAGATATTCTTGGTTAGCCTTCGGAAAGTGTCGTTTCAGTCTATCTAAGAATAACGTGTAGCTGTTTTGCACCTCGTGAGCCTGGTACTGTTCTCTGATCATGTCGAACAGCATGCTATCCTCTATGTACCAGTCGTTGTTCACGTTTCTAAAAATTAAAATAAAAACAATTAAAAAAGTTATTAATTTCTATAAGAAATCTGAAAAAAGAAGTATCGCAAATTTGAAACCTGTCTCCTTTCAAAAACGCAATTACCTAAAACCAAAGCAAAAAATTTGTCTTTGTTGATTCAATTACTTCAGGACTAGGTTGACTTTGAAGCATTCTAACTCAATCATTTTCCACAGAGGCGAAGCTGAGCTTCGCACCACTTGCGATACAAAACAAGAAAAAAATTCGAAAAAATCAAAAAAAAAACTAGATCTATCAGAATGAATAAGGTTAGTTTTGAAACAAAAACAAACCAAGACAATAGAATGTGAAAAAAGCACCAAAAAATAATGTACCAAGCGGTAACACAGCCGGAAACACCTAGTCATAAACCCTTGAAGCCGAAAAAAAATCAACATAAGAGTTATAAAAAGTTATTAAGTTCACCTCACCCTCAAAACACACAAACGCTCAAAAAACTTTATTTGCTCGTCAAATGAAACAACATGAGGCAACTAAGCCAGTATAATATAGGTCAAAATATATCAAGCCCAACAAAAGAAAATTAAAAAGCCTAGAAAATTCAAACAAAGTTATGACTAATAAATGAAACAAAAAACAGCCGAAAGTTATTAAGTCCCCCTCACCCTCAAAACACACACGCACACAGATATTTTTTCGCTCATCGAAAGACACAAGATGAGGCCAATAAGCCAATATAATAAAGGCTGAGACCTATCAAACGCAAAAGGCCGGAAAAACTGTTGTCATTAATAACTTGAAACTATAATTCTATTTAATGCATTTTATGCAATCCAGAGGTGAGCATAAAAAATAAGTTTCCGTTGAAACGACTCGAAAATAGTTCACTAACAAATATTTGGGGCAAAGAAATTTTATAGCGAAAACAACAACTTTAAAAAAAACAATTCTACACACAGAGGCGTAGCTTCGCTCGGCAAACACTAGCCAGAACTCGACAAAGGCAGCTCTATAAACTACAAAAACAAAAATAAGCCTCGAATTAGTGAAAATTCAGCTACATCTCGGATTCGAACCTGCGACCTAGAGATTAAGCGTCTCACGCACTAACAACTCAGCCACGGACCTTTAATAGCCACCAAACACTAGCCACACATGAAGCAGAGAACAGATGCTATGCAATTTCCAATGCTACAAGGAAATTTCCAAATAAGTAACACTTTAATGAACACTTTTATTTGCCAGTTATGTAAAAAATAAAAATCGTAACAATACACTAAGCTGATTGCAAGTGTAATCATTTTTATTTCAAATAAGGTATAGAACGCAAGACAGGCCTGACAACTTTTATAAAAACGAAATATGAACCTGGGACCAAACCTTGAAAAACGAACTTTATATGAACTTAAAAGAGCATTTTCTCTAACTTTCAGAAAAACATGGTCAATTAAACCATTTATTTCCTGACAAAGATTGAGTCAATGACAACTGCACATTGTTGATACAAGGTGACCACAACAACAGTTCGTTGGTTATGGAGCAGTTCCTTCTTCTTTTCTAGAGTTTTTTTAGCCTCGTCAATGCTAGAATCAACTTCGTCCAGCTGGTCCTTGAGAGCTAAAGGAGTCATTCGCTTGAAAACATGCATTCCTCTCGCAAATCTTCAGCATGCCCTCTTTTTCGTGAATTTTCTTCTACTTTCGACTCCGTGGATTTCTTATATTCAGAAGCTGCTTGGCGAACTGTCACATAACTCAGCTGGAAAATTGAACGCCTTTTCGAAATCGTCGCGGCTAAACACTTCCTGAATGATACGCATACTGTCGTATATTTCTGGCAAAAAACCGTTCCGGTGTTGACTCTCAGCGAACTTCATGCGCGAGAACCCTGATTCTGTGTTCATGTTGTGTGGGTAAACTAGCAACACAAACTCACAAAGATCCCAAAGACTTCCACTGTTGCAACAGTGATTTCTCGAAGCACTCTCGCAAGGATAAGTTCCCATTCATACACAGCTTAGCAGTAGTAAACTCGTCTAGGACATACACACTCACTAGGCCGAAAAAATTAGCCAATCGGACTGTTCTAAATGCTTTTCAAGCGAACACAGAGCCGACTGAACTATAGGAACATTGGAACAGAAAAGTTTTTTGTTCACAGGCGAGAATACCATGGGCACAACAACTCCGCCACTGTTTTTCTTGTAAAGATCTATAGCATACTTCTTAGGGTTTATATCCAAAGACATAAAAACCCGTGTCCTTACCAATCATCGTACTACAGTTAGCAGTCATTGCGTATAGCACTTTGTGAAGTGGAATGTCGAAAAATCCGAGAGCAGCAAAAGTTGCATCAAATATATTCTGCGATGACACGAGCTTGCAATCAGAAAGCGATTTGGTATTTGTAGACACAAAGAGTCAGTATCGAACACCGTCCGCATATTAAACAACCCAGAGTTCAACCCTTGTTTTACCATTATAAGATGTTTCGTCGAGATGAATACCGACAAACTTGTCTTTCAATTCACTTTTCAAATTGTGCGAGCGTATGGGGCTATTCCGTGAACTGCCACATAGGTTGCTTTCGTCATTCCACATGTAATATTAGCGTGGCCCGAATCGGGAAAAATCTGTTTGTACTTCCCGCGAGCACTAGATGCCGAATCACTGGAAGCGAAAGGCTGGCCGTTCACTACAATATCAAGAACATAAATAATAAGTGCTCTCAATCGCTGGCAATCAGTCTGAGAATATGTTGCTGTCCTAATGTTGGGAGTTGCAGCGCGCGCAGTTACCGCTTTCTTGTGGAGCTGAGTCTCTTCATGTTGCTTTAGATCGAATCGCCCATGTGAAATCCGAAAAACGCGATTATCCAATTTGCATCGGACTTGATCCTGGTTCTCTGCTTTGGCCCAAGAAAACTCCTCGAGTAGAGCTGATGACACAGTACATTTTCCCATTCATTGAAAAAAATCAACTTTCGAAAAAATGAAGGTATAAAAAAACCTTTAGAAAATAGACGCACTACGTGTAACTAATTAAAAACAATTAAAAACAAGAAATATGAACTCTGGCTCAAATAGGAACCATATGAACTAGTAAATATAATATGAACTAGTTGGCAGGCCTGACGCAAGAGCTCTTGCCTTCTAATTGAGAAAGTTTTCTATGTAAAAAAAATCTAGTTTTTATCAGCTTGTCTATCAAAAAACGAATCAAAAACTGATTAAACACTGAATCTCCAGTTCGTTTCCAATTGGCACAAGGTTTTGATAACAATACACTTGTGTGAAAAAAAAATCAAAACTCTTTGATTTTTTCTCAATTTGAATAGCTTTTTTGTGCGTCTTTCGAGCTGATAAATTAAAAGAATCAAAAAGATCGGTCAAACATGATCAATGACTATTTACAAAAAGATAAGTTACAAATTTATTTTACAAAAAGAAACAAAGTTTTCAATTTTTACAACTGTTAATGCTGAGGAAGCGCTTAACTAAGCTCCAAAAACCAGTTTCACAGAGCTAAACACTAAATATTGAGATTTTTCAAAAAAAATTTAGCTTAGGAATGAGCTTTTCGCATTAGTCGCTCGCTTTGAATTAAACTAAAATCAGAAATTTTAAATTCAATGTTGAAAATCACAAAAATGTTCAACTTCAACTTTAATTTCTCGTTTAAGAAACTTTTAAAAAACACCAAAAATCGACCGACTGAAAAGGATTTAATATGATATTTCACTTGTCTCATTCATGCCATTATTTGTGACAACTGATTTTAAGAGAAAAAATGTATTGAAAAATAGAACACGCGAAGACAAAAATTATCCTCTCTTCTAGCTGATCCGAAAACAAAAACATCCAAGGAAATGGTTGCCATAAACTTTTTTTGGAAATACGAAAATTTTTACCTCACAGAACCGACGAGAAACACAACTATTAGCATCAAGCAAGCATTTAGTATTTACAGAATGTCCACTTGGCCAGCAACACGTAGTTTGACACCAATGGAATCTTAAACAAAAAGGCCAAAAGAAATGGTTGTCATAAAAAAATTCAATAATTTCTTTGGAATACGAAAAATTCGATCTCTGAAAAACACAGAAACACAGCCACTAGCATAAACCAAGCTTTAAAAAATTATTGAACAATCACCAAGCCGATAACTCGCAGTTAGAAGCCAATTAATCTGAGAATAAAAAAATGAAACGTTAATTGTTCTCATAAAATTATGTTGAGCGATTAAAAAGTTTGGACTTTTAACCTTTATTTAATCGACCGCGCTGATTTTTTACAAACATGAATAATCGTCTTTTATCCATGTACCAATGCAAAGGGATTTCACTAAACGGACAGAACAAGAGCCGAAACCATTTCAAACCGACAAAACAAGAGCCGATATCATTTAGGCAGAAAAAAAATTGTAAGCAAAAAAATCAAAAAACCGGAAAATACTAGTCAAGTAGAGAAATTCTGAAAAACTACAGGAGTCAATCAACGGCACTTGAGACTGAAACAAAAATTGTCTACAGCGCAAAAAAATTGTGAGGTGGCAACTGAGCCGAGAAAACTATAGTGGCATGAGGCCCGAATTTGCTAAGGTTCGATAATAAAGCAACGTCAATTTCAATTAGAAATATGTAAGAAAAGTCTGATTCCCGATTCCAAGACACTTGCTCCCACAAGTGTTAAAATAACAGATTACACCAAAGAATCACAAAACGCTTTCCGTTACAAAAGAAATATCTTAAACAAGAGGAGTAAAAAAAATGTGGCAACTAAGCTTACAAACCATAAGCAGATAACCCATAGGCCGATCATTTTTTGATATTAAATATTTTAGGTTTCAAAAAACAGGGGCTCAACGGAGTCGAGCGTAGTCCCTTAACCTTTTATAAAGACTTTTCGTACCCCAGTAGTTAAATTTGAATTTTCAAGAAATTGAGCATGTTTCGTTGCTGGAGAATTGAATGTTTCAGAAATGATTCAGTGATTTTGTTAAACTAGTTGTTAACTGGAAAAAAGTCCATATTCGAGTTGGATAACGCTCAAAAGAATAGAATTTAAAAACAAGAATAGCCGATTGTTGTGCAAGTAGCTCAGAATGTTCCGACCATGGTCTTAAAAACATCTGAAAAGTTTTTTCAAATAAGTGACGTTTTATTCTACGTGGTTAGCTAAAAAGAACTGAACGAAACAGTTTAATAATCATAGTTAAATAGGCCAAATGGAAAACAGTTTTAGAAGAAAATTGACTAGAACATAGCCAATTGAAGATTGGAGAAGAGCAATGAACGCAATTTAACATGAAAAAAAAACATTGACTTTCTTGAAAAAATCTCAACTTTCGAATTTCAAAAAAAAAGATGCCCTTTAAGCGCTTTGAGTTTCTAGAACAATTTATGATTGGCGCTTTTTTGACAACATGAACCCAACTAGAGAAAACTGGATCAATAGGTAAAGTTTTTATTCCGCTGGAAATCTAGAAATTAAATTCCACTTTCGAAAATAGAAATCGTTCAAATTTTTTTGCGCCATTTCCACATTCGTATTTGGAAAGAGCTATTTACGTCACTTTCAGCAGATGAATTTCAATGGAACTCAAAAAGTGCATTATACTTAAGTGCATCAATATTTTAAGACTTTTTCCTGAAAAAAAAAACAAAAAATCAGCAAGACCTCTAAAAGAGTCTTCACTACGTTCATTACTCTTTAAAAAACGAAATAAAAAATCGTAAAAATTTTTTTACTTTTTTTGCAGATATTTTTTTGAATTTTGATTACCAAAATGGCGCTTAAAACTCCACAAACTTAGCTTACTCGAGTTAAACTAAGTTTTCACGGCTTAATGTAAGCATAAATAAGCTATTGTAGTAAGCCTGGAAGCTCAATTTATTAATTCTAAATTAGAACAAAATAAAAATTTTAAACCAGTTTTTCTCGACACTGGAAAAATTTTTTCGAAATTTTAAAACTTCGTTTGAATTACGACTGAAAAGGCTTTTTATGACTTCCTCCCCATTTTCAAATCGTCAGAACAATAAACCATTTTTCCGATTCTTCGTTGTCTGATGAGTTCTTTGTGATACCCAGTTTTGCATGCAACAACATCCGAATACAAAAATCGCCCCCACTGCATGCTCAACATTTTGCTTGTGCACGTAAATACATCTTTTCAAGCGGACCAACCTAATTATATGCAGGTATTCGACGTCCAATTCTCTTAGACGCTGTTTGAAGTTCTCATCCATCAAAACAACTTCTGCCATAAGAGAGCTCCATAAGTTGTCACGTGGAAAATCTGCCACCAATAAGTCAAGAGGAACACCTAAATTTACAAATGATTCAAATTAGGCAGAGTCGAACCGGAGCTTCGCAATACTTGTGATTCGTTACAAATTTATAAGCGACAACTGAGTCACTACAATTGTAGTTGAAAAATTTTGAGCTATAAAACATTTAGAAACTCGAACCCCCTCCCCCGATATTTCATCTTTTGTAAGCATTAAGCTATACTACTAGGTCATAGCAAAGGTAAAATTCAAAGCTTCGAGATATTCATCATGCTAGCACCTTCAAACTTATACAAAATTGTTGGTTAAACATATCCAATCAAAATTGGAAAAGATTAATGAACGCAAGTAAACATAAGAAACACTGACTTTGTTGAAAAAAATCTCAACTTTCGAATTTCAAAAAAAAAAAGATGCCCTTTAAGCTCTTTGAATTTCTAGAACGATTTATGATTGGCGCTTTTTTTTATAACATAGCCAACTTGAGAAAACTATATCAACAGGTAAAGTTTTTATTCCTCTGGAAATCTGAAAAATAAATTCGAAACTACAAATCGTTCACGTTTTATTCCGCGCCATTTCCACGTTCATTTTTGGAGAGTGCTATTTACGTCATTTTCAGCAGATAAATTTGAATTGAACTCAAAAAGTGCATGTATAAGTAAGTGCATTCATAAATGCATCAATATGTATGAATGCACATCTTTAGTTATTAGAGACTTTTATGACTTCCTGAAAAAAAATCAGCAAGACCTATAAAAGAGTCTTCACTACGTCCATTACTCTTAATCACTTCATAAATGCAAGAAAAAACTCGTTCACAACATAGGCGCTACGCGCAATACACCGAAGGCATAGAAACTGAAGCAAAAACCAAACAACTTGAACAACTAATAATTGAAGAATAACAAACAGACCCATAATATGAATAAATGAAAATAAATAAATGAAATAAATACACATACATAAATAATAAAAGCAAAACTAAATGAAAGAAAGAATAATTAAATAAATATAGAAATAAATATCAACAAATAAACAAAACACACCTGATAAATAAATAAGCAATAAAAAAATAAATCAATACATAAATAAATAAATAAATACATAAATAAATACATAAATAAATAAATAAATAAATAAAAGCAAAAGTGAAATGTACAAATAATTAAATAGACATGAAAAAATATATACGAACAAATAACCAAACAAACAGACCCATAATATAAATAAATGAAAATAAATAAATTAAATAAATACACACGCAGAAATAATAAAAGCAAAACTAAATGAAAGAAAGAATAATTAAATAAATAAACAAAACACGTGATAAAAATAAACAAAAATAAATATGTACATACATAAATTATAAATAAATATAAGCAAACTAAACATAATTAAATAAATAGAAGAACAGATAATTAAATAAATAAAGATGAACAAATAAAGAAACAAACATACGCAATCACGTGACATAGCGCGATATAGTCCAGCCCACATGATAATTGATAACTGTGGACGTTATTTGTCGACACTTGACAACAGACAACATTAAAAAAAACCCGTTACACGATACCATAACACCTTGACTAAAGTCTTCGGTGTAAAAATGCAAGAACATACATGTGAAAACCAACAAATGTAAAAAAAAATTGACGAACACAAGGAATTAATTTAAAAAAGTAACTATCGAAGAAGCAAATATATGGCCTTTTTGATTATGCTGCCCAAATGTAACAAAACTAAATCAATAGTTAATTTTTTAAATTTCGCTGTGAATTGACCGCAATAAGGTAACCTTCAACGCAAGCCACCCAGTCTTAACAAAGAGGCGAAGCTGAGCGTCGAACCACTTGTGATACAAAAATTAATGCCTGTCATTTAAATCAACTAAACAAAAAATTTGAAATAAAAAAACTCATCTTGGTCATTGAAAATTGTGAACTAAAATTGCAACAAAAGCTTAAAGTATCCGCAACACAATTACATACACCACTAAAAACTTAACAGGGAGCTTTCAAAATGCTAGAAATCAGCCGAATTTTTAAAAGATTCTTTTCAGCGGAATTAGGACGACAAAAATAAGCAGACAGACCATAATCTAAACTAGCCGAAAGTTTGCAAAAAACATGTATCGGCTGAAATCAAACCACCGGGCTTAGGCATTTCAAGCACGGGTGTTACAGCACCTTGGTAGAAAATTGAACCATCCGAAGTCGGGATAGGTGAACTAAGCCGACAAAAACGAACAGAAGGACGATAGTCCGAAAAAGCACGGAAACTCTAGTTTGCAAAAAATAGGTCGCTTTCAGACTCGAAGTACAAGCCTTTGCCGTCTCAAACAGTTGTTTGACCTCTACGCCACATGTAACGTATGTTTGCTTGAATTTGAATTTATAATTACTAACTGGTAAGAAAGCCGAAAAACCTGAGCAGAAACCCTCCATATCGAAAAAAACTCTGAACCAAAAAAATTTAAGTCTTGCTCTAAGAACACACACAAGCACATACAAACTATTTCAGTCATCAAGCGATGTAATGAGAGGCCACCAAATCGACATTAAACACAGAGGCGAAGCGGACCTTCGCACCCCTTGCGATACAACACAATCATATAAAAACATAAGTCGAAAAAAAATGAAAAATGTCGAGAAAAACTAGGTGAACCAAAATTTTCGTATAACTCGAGGAAGAACACCTAGTGTCCAGCTAAAGCTGGAAGCACGTGTTTGAATTTTTTTTGAATTTGTTATACTGCTGCGGCACGAAATGCGCAACTTTCAAAAATTGGACTTTGTCCAAAACCTTAGTTGCTTTCTCTACTAAAATTAGTGAGAAGAGTGAAAATGTTTGATATTTTGGAATGTTTCCAAAGTCATAACGTTTCTCTTACAAAAAAGTAAAAAGTAGCCGCTTCTGCAGGAAAATTTCTCGCGCAACCGCTTACTTCGATTGAACTTGTAATCTCAGATTTGCCAGGGTAATTTTAAGAAAATTCAAAAAGAGTTCAATTTTGCGAAAACAGCTAATGATTTTGTTAAACTAGTTGTTAACTAGAAAAAAGTCTACATTACGATTTGATAACGCATGCTTATCGCAAGCGTAAGAAGCCGAAACCTATTAGGCCGAAAAAAGTTTTAAAAAGAGAAACGTTAACAAATAATGTTACAACAATTGAAAAAGCAAAATTCACTTAGGACGTATTTTTAAAAAGCTAATATACTCAATATATGTATGTTGCAACAGAAAAGTCCAGTAGATGAATGAGTCCTGTGAACAATGTTTTTAAGGGGGAAAAATCTAGTACCCATAGCAATACCCTCGCCTATCGCAAGCGTAATATATCGCAAGCGCAAGAGTGAAAACAAAAAACATCTGGAAAAGCAAAGAGTAGGAGTCACTTGTCTGAACAACTGTGCCACTCTTCAGTTAATACAAGTAGCATTGAATTCACGCTCATTTTCAGTTTCTCGCCACCAAAATTTATGAAGTGGTCTGAAAATTGCTCATAGAAGTATTGCCATGTTAGAAACGTTCCTACAATTTCGCACTCTGGCACGTTACTTTTTTGATATTTAGAAAACCAAAAGTCATGTTAAAAAAGCTTTCACAAATCGAATTTCAGGAAAACCAAGGAGGGGCGATAGAACTGAAAAAGAGCAGCATACTCTTTCATTAAGTGGACAAGTGGACGGTATTCACTCATGCTGTTTCAAATGGAATAGAAAAACTAATCTACACAAAAATTGCACAGAGGTGAAAAAAATCTTCCAGAGGTGAAAAAAGAACACAGAGGGCAAACATGAGCGAGAAAACAAAAAGTTGCTTTAAAAATAGAAAAGAGATAGGTAGAAATAAGCTTCGAATTAGAAAAACTTTTGCTGTGCCTTATTTAAACCTGCAACCTCGAAATGCTATGCACCAAAATGCCACCAAACATAAAACATAGCCAACAGGCAGATGGAAAAAATAAAACACAGAGGCGAAGTTGCACTTCGCATACACAAGCAAAAATATGACTGATAACCCTACTGGGGAAAAACTGAGTGAGCAAAACTTTGAGTATACAAAATTTCATAAAAGACACACGCCAATTATGAGTCTACATAATTGTTAAGAGACGCAAGCCAATTAAGACACATTAGCAGTACCAGTCAATATGAAAAAAAAATTACCAGCTAACATGCCTCAATTTATAGAGCGGACGCATTTAAACCAGTATTCAAAAAAATCCATTCAAACATCCGACCCTGCCCAGGTTCGAACCCTCTTATTTTGCTGCAGGTCTCCTTCCCTACCTCTACGCTACAGATCCATGATACTTTGAAGCTAAAGAGCTATTTGTAATATAATAGTCTGTGTTCATATCCTTAGCATTGGCTCTACTTAATAGCTGGTTATTGATCACAATGAACACATTTTGTCGCAACAATATTTGCGACTTAGATTGGAAAAAAGAAAGTTCATACAATAACACAAGCCTTGCTTGTGTAATGAAAGCAATTGAGAAAACTAGATGAGGTAAAGTTTTTTTTACTTTTGCTGTTCGATAATGGAATTACCCTCTTTTTTAACAAAGGAAATGAGCTGAACTTAAAAAGAAATCAAAAATCAGAGAGCGAAAAAGTACATTTGAGCGTCAACAAGTTTTAGAATTTTACTGGACCTATATAAAAGTCTGAACTACGTTCATCGACTCTTGATAAAAATTAATGCTAAGTTCGATATCGAAACTTGTACCCGAAGATTCGGAATAGCGAGCCATTCCGTCTGCCCCACGGTCGCATGAATAACGGCAAGCACCAGCCGCCAAGACAGAGGAACAGATGCTATGAAACTCCCAAACGCTAGAAATCGTGATTATACCAAATGAGCATTTTTCCTTGCGACTTTGGTTGGAAAAGAGTAAAGTCATAGCATACACTACGCTGGCTTGTGTAAAAATAAGTAACTTGCCATCTACCGGACTCGAACCGTCTTGTCATCTAATGGAATCGAGCCGCCAAACTGCAGATTACGATTCTAACAACCTCCCATTTCGACCATATGCTTTTGAAATATGTAGACTTTTGCCGCCAAAAAGTGTATCGAACGCATGCTTTTAGATTTTTTATGCTACGCAGTCAAAGCGCACACCAAAATTAACACTAATTATTCGACTTTTTTTAGAAAAAGGCTGATTCGTAACATAAAACTACGCTCGATTCCGCTTCATAATTAAAGAGCATATTTCGCCTTCCTTTCAGTAAATGAATTGGAAGTCTGACACAGGCGAAGCTGATCTTCGCAAACACTTACGAGAACACGGCCAAAAAGCAGCTATATCAAGTGAAATAAGAAGTAGAAATAAGCATCGAATAAGCACTACCTCGACTACGTGTCGGATTCGAATCTGTGATCTAGCAAATCCGAGTCTAACGAATTAACCACTCAGCCATGGATGCTTAAAATCCCCAAAAACTAGCCACCAATAACGCAGATACATATGCTAATCAATTGCCAATTCGATGCAGCAAAAGTAGCACCAAATACAAAAGGACACAATTTTGCATGTAATGAATCGGAAAGCATTAAGTCAAACTATTATCAAAAGTTCATACTATAACACAAGCTATGCTTGTGTAATTATGCATTTCAAAAAAATTGCGAGATACATTGAGTTGGAAAGTTTCTGAAACCGAGCTTTTTATCTTTGTACTGTTGTTTGAAACATAACTTTTTTGAGTTTATTTGATGAATTAAAAATGCATCAGCTGTGTAAACTTTTTACTAATCAAATGTCAAAGCACCTATGATATTACACAGCGACTTAGATTGGAAAAAAAGAAAGTTCGTACTTATACACTTTGCTTCGCAAGTGTAAAAAACGATCTTAAGTCAAAACGCAAAAACCAAATTTGAGCGTGTTCAAACTTTGTAATTTCGGAAAAAAACAATAACACGATCTAAATATGAGAGCACTTATTTGAGAGTTAGCTTGGAAAAAAGAAGAGTCATACTAATACGCTACGCTCGCAAGCATAAAAATGTCAAAAAATACCGTTAGAAATGCTCAACTCAAAAAATATATGCTATTTTCATGAAAATGTCAGATCTTTTGGTTGAAATAAGTGTAACTAGCCTTCGAACTCGTGACTTGGATTCGCATGTTTCAGTCCTGAGTCGCCTTCAAATTCTGTGAGCCACATCAGATCAACTTCAAGATGTGTGACCTCTTCGACCAGCTCACTGTCCATCACCTCCATCATCTCCTTCAACCCCTCCAACTTCAGTTGCAAAATCTCAAACTTCTCATCTTCCACGCCGCTTCTAAAAACACATCAAAACATTTGATCAAACAAAACAATCAGAGTAATATCCTCGAATACGCATCAAGGTTTCTCTCGAATGCACTCAGACTCTTCAACCACTACCTAAATTTCCTTTTTAGGTCTGCTAAGTTTTCAAGCCACATTTCAAAGTCATAATAGCAGACAATTAGTTTCAGATGAAACATCGACAGCTAAGGTAAATACACTACGAGCAGATTAGCTATGCCATTCAATATTCTCCACATTTTGAAATGACCTCTTCCGTACAACACTCGATATAAATTTGCAGAAAATGAGTTTGCATAAATAGCCAATTGGTTTCAATGCCAATTCTCTTTCTTCAGCTGAAAATATTTTCTCTTCTTTGAAAACCAGACGTTACGGCATAACTCAAAACAGAGTAAGAATAATTTTAAAGAGGCGAAGTGGTTCTCAAGTGGCACTCACTGTTCGTAGAAGAGGAGGTCGATTTCGTTGCGCAATTCACTCACATTGGCCAACATGTCCTGTCTCAACTCACGCGTGTCCTCCCCCACTAACTTCTTGTATTCTACCAACTCAGCAAATGCACTCTCCTCTCCACTCTCACACCACTCTGCCTTGTCTGCTGACTCGTACATCTGAAGCGAAGTATTCTCAAGCACACTCAATTGCGATTCATACAATCAATTTGAGTTGCAGACAAGCACTTTCTTTTCATTACTTCAAGGAATCAATTCATAATTTTCATTTTCAGCCCAGAAAAAAAGAACAACTCGCAACCTCATTCCAAATTTCCTCCTCCAGACGAGACGCATTGCGACACAGTCGCTCGTAGTAGTTCCTCCAGGCCAGCTTGTGCTGTTTGAGAGAGTTGATGTCTCTGTTCTGCTTACGGGCTCGTTCTATCTGTCTGAAACATAAATGGCCAAACACCGTTATTCTCAAACTATTTTATTGTTACATTTTATCCGAATATCCAAAAAATTTCAAAAAACATGTATTTTTACAACGAATTGCGCCTTAACACATTGCTTTTATTTCTAATTCACCACCCTTCAAAAAGTCTGATATTTTGAACAAACTGCACGCGGCGCATAGAATTTGACCGATCAATGTATATCAATTTGGCGGCAGCTCAGAAAAACTTGGTGCTCATGAAATTACGCAACTAATTCCAAAAACTTCATTGCAAGCATAAAAAGTGCACCTCATCTTTTCCATCTGTCTGTTGCCTCGTCTGTTGATTTCATGTTTGAGTGCTTCGAAGTTCTGATAGTCATTCTCGAAGTATCGGTTACTGCTCATCCCATTCGTAAAACGCTTCACAAGTCTCTCTAAAGAAACAAATACATAACTACATAGCAAGAACGACATTGGTCTCTATTTTTATGATCAATGGCGCGCGGTTTGCACGCACAATACATAGACTTGGTAAATAAACAAGCCAGAAAGCAAATGGTAGTTCTACAATCTAATTCTAATAGCTGAAAAAGACAAGGAAACCTGATTTTCAACTACGCAACAAATTGGTTGAATTTTTTACCTTTAAAACCCAAACAATAGTCGCCGGTACCCGCGCAAGTTGCACAATGCTCCGACCAGTTATCGTTTCAAAAAAAATCTTATTTTTTCGACACTTTTTTGCTCTACACCACAAACAGCACGGCAAGGTAGCAGACATTCGAAAAAATTTGACTAAACATTGAAAGCACAAGAATTATTAGAGTTGGTTCAACGACTTCCCTCGAATGAATTCATTGTAAAGATAGCATATCAATAGACAATTACCAGCGTTAAATTAGCATTAAAACAAGAAACGAAAGGTTACAAAACCGCAACAATTTTAGTAGACGCTCGTTGAGTTGAAAAAAATGTCATAGAAACTTATTACACCAAATTTTGAAGGGAAAGTTTTTAAATACCTTTTAGCATGAAAACATAATTGGCCTTCCATGTGACGCAAACAGAGGAAAGATTTGACTTAGCCGATACCTTTTATGCTAAATAAACGTTTAGAGCGAAACTTAGCCAACAGAAAGTTGGAAAAGAGTCGCAATGAACGCAGGAAAATAGAATAAAAAACCGATTTGATTTAATAAAACACCAATTTTCAATTTTTTTTTTCAATTATTTGTGCTATATCATCCCGACACACGCCATGTAAAGTACGATGTAAAATATTTAGCTTACAGCTAAGTATTAAATAGATAAAATAGCACGCCTGAGTTCAATTAGGAACGTTTTCTAAGACGGATTAAACCTCCGCGTTAGAATATCACAATATATCGCGTTAATTATACTAAATTGACAATCTTTAAGCCCCCATAACTTTACAGAAAATGATCACACGTGACAAATCTTTTTAAATTTGAGCTCAAGACAACAATACCCTTCGGCTGATATAAAAAATTCGAAAATTGTCTGAAAAAAAACCACCCCGAGCACAAATATTCCGTCACTTCCTTCGAAAGTAGGAACAAAAAAAAGATGACTTTAAATTTTGAAGACTTTCTAGAACAATTCATGATTAACTTTATCGATAAAACTAAGCTTCGATTCGCAAACCCTAGCGAGAACACGACATTATTGAAACTATAAGTCGATCACGTTTTTCGTGAACTTTACACTTTGCTGTAATTAATTGAAAAGCATTAAGCCACATAATGTATTAAAATATGCATTTCAAAAAATTTCTGAAATCGAGTTTTTATTTTGTTATGTTGTTTGAAACAAATAGTTTTTTTTCGGTTCATTTGATGAATTAAAAATGCATCAACTGGGTCAAATAATTACCTTTTGAATATCAAAGCACAAGCTATCAAAAAGCTGTTAAAAAGCCCCAAAACGGCACCAATATTGGCGACTTAGGTTAGAAAAAAGAAGGCTCTTAACAATTTACTAAGCTGACACAAGTGTAAAAACTGGATCAAAGATTAACAGCTGGAAAATCTGACAATTTGGAACCATTTTCGAAAATGGATTAAAAGATGGGAAATCTGACGATAGAGAACCATTTTCGAAATTGGAAAACATTCACGTTTTTCGTGACCTTTACAGCTATTCGATTGTCGAGTTTGCCTTTCTTTTAGCACAGGAAATAAAGTGAAACACTGTTTTCGATTGTGGAGTTTGCCTTACTTTTAACAAAAGAAGTTAAGTGAACTTAAAAATATGTTCAAATTTCGAAATTTTCCGAAAAAAAAAACAAAACACAACCTAAACAAGTTTCGCCACAATGTTCAACAATACTATATATTTACCGGTCGTATTAGTATCACTCGAATTGCAGCATATTGCATTTAAGCTTTCTGTTTTCCAAACCAGACGGAAAAACTTCTCTTGTCTAGGAGGCACTGATTTAAACAGCACTAGATAACCAGCGCAAATTCGAACACAGGCGAAGCTTTGTTTCGCAAACACTAGCGAGAACACGACAAAAAGCAGCTCTATAAAAAGCAAGAGAAAAAGCAGAAATAAGCCTCGAATTAGTAAAAATTCGCTTACGTCTCGGATTAGAACCTAGAGATTATGAGTCTCAAGCACTAACCACTTAGCCACGCCCACTTAATAACTCACAAACACTAGCCACAAATAAAACAGAAAACATGTTATGAATTTTCCAATGCTACAGATCGTGATTATAGCAAAAAAAGCCACCAAAGTGAACACTTTTGATGCACACTTTTATTGGCGAGTAAAGTAGGAAAAAAGTCTACGCTAGCTAAGTGTAAAGCAGGTTGGTATTAAACCACTACGCTCGTAACTTCTATAGTGTAAATAGCATTATTTTCAACAAGCTCATCTCCACTCAATCAGATCTTTTTCTTTTTCCAGCAAGTAATAACGAACTTGCTCAGACAGACATACTCGAAAAAAAAACATTCCAAATGAAATAGCAACAGATCAACTACTGAGAAAGTATTTCGATGACTCACCTGCCGTTTCCATGTCTCTAGAAGGAGCAGCTGTGGTTACAAAAGGAATCTTGGCTCCTTTGTTCAGGTTCTCACGCAACCCACCTATAGAACCCATCGCCTGTCGCACACAATATAGACCAACCAAATTAATACTATCTGAAAATTTAAACAACAGCTCATTATTTCAAAACTATTCATTACATCCTTGCTTTGACGTTAAAACTTGCTTGATACAAATGATTTGCGTACATAATTGATACTTTGAAATTATACAAATATTAACATCTAAAATATAGAAATTCATTCTCGCTAAAATTGATCAACGCTATTAGAAAAGGTAATTGCTCAATAATTTCATCAATTGCATTAAGCGCATAACTTGTTCAAATTCACATTCCCCAAGTAAGTAGCAAACTTCAAGTGATAGCAATAGTAGAGATACAAGTTTGCAACTAACGTCTAAAACTTTATATTCAGCCCCAAAAATAAATGTGGATTTAGAAAGCCACAATTAGGATAGCTTTTGGCACTAATAGTCCTAGTATGGCAATTATGATAGTCGGGAGCGAAAAAAGTTACTGCATAGAAAACTTCATTTTCTGCTGACATGTTTTACCATCAACAACATGACCTGAATCTGAACCTTGTGTACCCCAAAAGCTCACAACCTACGTCATCTTTTAATCATTTTTTCACTTTAATTCTGTGCGCATAAATTTTCCTGACTGGCGATTTATCATCTCATTTCGAAGACCAGCTCGCTTTTGCGTCACTGACTCAAAAGACATCATTTCACATGATGAAAAGAGCATGGATTATGGAACACAGCTCGCTTACTTTGTGCACATGTGTTGGTATATGGATTAATTCACATGCGGTGCGGCATTTAGAGGGAGCTTTTGAATGGAAAAAATGGGAAAATGAAAATGAGGAAGAGCTTTGCCACAATATTCAATACAGTATTGAGAACACTTTTTCTCCCTTTGCTAGCCTGATAGAGCACATTAACCTGCACGCGTGCAATCTTCATTTTTGGTTGCCTGTGTTGTGTTGGTCGGCTTCGCTTGTCAGGGAGTGAACAAAACAAATTTAGAAGGGAAGAAAAACGAAGGGAAATGGAGCGACTGCTTATCATGTTAGCATTTGAACCACAGTGCTAGTATTGGTATTAGAAGCAGCAAAATACCCCAATAGGCCATTTCTTCATTACAGCAACCTTGATTAGATGGAGTTAACCAAACAAAATCAACCAATTTACTTTAAAAAAATGGAATAAACAAATGTTATTTTGAAATGACTGAAATACGACATAAAATAGCCTTTATTCTTTTTCATCGTAATAGTAGTTTCTATTTCTGATTGCTCTTCTGCTCTCATTAAGATAAGACAAGTTTCAGATTCACTTTAACATGGCGCTGTTGAAAGATGGCCCAGAAAGTGTTTATATTTCAAGATACATAATAACCGAATTAATTAATAACTTTCACATAAATTAGATTGGATTCTATTCTCTATATACAAATTTGAAATTGCAGCGATTGGTGAAAGCCGATTGGATTTAGAGTCGAACATGAAGAAGAGTACAGTTAAGTAAGATCAAACAGGGGACAAGGCAGGTCACAATCAAGACAGCCGCCGGAGAGAGAGAAGCACGTGTTGAGTTGGGGTGGTGGGGGGGGGGGGGGGGGGGATTTGTTGGTTCATTAGCGTTTTGTTTATTTTCAAAGAATGGTCTCTTTTCCAGATTTCTACCCCACAGAGTTCTTTAAAATTACAATAAGTTGCGTGAAAATCCATATACAGTGATCTTTTCATTTCTGTTCACTTGTTCATACTAGCATATTTTGTGATTTTTTTTTACAGAAAACCCTCTTAGACAGCCTTTAGAAAACTGAAGTTTGTGAAAATCAAGTAGGATACTGGAAAAAAGCCAAAAACTTATCTAAGTACAAGACTGATTCGACCCAAAACACTGAGTAGACCGAAGATTCAATGTTTTGAATGGTTCTAATTCTGCAACTATGATCTCTCACTTATTTTCTTTTAGAGAATAATATCGGCTTACCAATTGTGACTACTGCAGATTTAGCTTTAAGGGCCTCAAATTTAACACTGAACATCTACGTGCAAGTTGATGCAGTAATGATGAGTAAATTTTAGAGAAGCGAGAGTTATATGATACATAGAGCCAAAATTCTGGGAAATATTGCAACTTCATTAAGCCTGTCTGTAGGAAGGAATACAAAACATAAAACAAACGACATCTGCTCTATTTGACTGGATACAATTCTACTTCGATGCATATCGCTTTGGTTAACTTAACTTAATTTACACTTTCATACACAGCAAGATTCAAAAGTTCGATAAAGTAATTTACCACCAGACATTTTCAACAAGGAAAAGCCCCGAGGTCTGTCGTGACGTGAAAGACATTTAAGGAACACAGAATATATATATATATGAAGATGCTAGAATATCGTGGCGGTGTCTGTCGGCCTTGTTATCCTCTTTCAAAAGTTCTCATCAATTGTTGTTTCCTTTCTTCTTAGCTCTAGCCTTTAGTGAAGTAGAGGACGCCTAGACCTATCACTAGCACAATGATGATGCCCAGAATAATCATCATCTTCATGTTTTTCCAGAACATCTTCGACTTCAGTTTTCCGGCGCTGGTCTCGAACTGGGATGCTCCTGCCTGTAGAGCGTCTGCCCTCTCATCTAGCTCCGACAACTTCTGATCTCTTTCCAGCACCTTGTCCACGTTCACTTTCATGATGTCTACTACCTGCCAACACATTTCACATGCATTACTTCCAGCCTCTCCATTACTACTTCCATTTTAAAAGCCACAATTACGATAGATTTTGACATTAATTTTCTTAGAATGACGAGTATGATAGCCGGAAGCAAAACTTGATCATTACTGCATACGAAACTGAATTACTTCGAACCCTTGTTTGTTTGAACAAATTGAACATGCAGGCATTCAGTTCAAATTATTCCACCCAGGATTCGACCCACGCATAAAGATATGTTCGGTCAAATAAATAAATCTCAAAAATGAATACTCGCAAAGTCGAGGTGACCACCTTTTAAAAAAACATATGCACATGATGCACAGCTTTCTCGTACAGAAAAGGGAAAATTAAAAACGGATAATGTTCAAAACTTCTTGTGCAAAAGTTCCAAAGCAAATTTCGTCTTTTCTGTTTAAGCAAATCACTCCGATCATTTTGAAATCACTGTTTGAAGAAACGACCGATACTCAAAAAATGCAGTTCATATAAGCATTACTTTCAAGGACCAGGCATCTAACGCCATAAAAAGCAGAAAAAAAAAGTTGGGGCGAATATAATGATCAAAATGGTCACCACAGTGGTAAGGTACTCGCCTCTTCTACTTGAGCTTGAGTCTGCTGGAAGCGCTTCGTCGATCCCCCCTGTGGTCTTGGCTGGCCTGGTCCGCCGGGAGCGGCTCCGGGTCCTCCTGGGGCTTGGTTGGGCTGAGACATTTCTAATAGATTAGTTGAAAAAGAGGAAAAGCCCCGGCTGGATATTGAGAAATAAACTTGACGGGAAACTTGATAGCACCGTGCGTCTCAGTGTATTACGGTTTCACAGGATAATTTTGAAGTTGGACCGTCTTAGTTTTTATCAAACCAACTCTGAAATTAGAAACACAATTAGCATTTATCCTCAACACATGTCGCTTTAAGTCTATACTCTCTGATACTGCCTTCAAACACTTTCCTGTTACCGATTTAGCTGCTAAGGCAATTGGATTGACTTATGTTTTGTTCAGTTTCATTTGAGACTCCAAATTTACCTCTCAAATACCAAAAAGCGCCGATGAAATGCGCGAGATAACTAAATAAGGAAGAAAATAAGCTATCAGCTGATGTCCTCCATAATTAAACAAAATGAAACACGTAGTGACGACAAAAACTAACTCAGAAAAGAAAGCAAGCTTTCATGTGTTACTTTTGAAGTCAATTTTTTAATTTAACCAGTCTGCGGAAAAACTTAATCAATCCATCAGACGTGGAAGTGCATTAAAGTTCACAGAAATGACTGATTACATTACAATTGGTTCATGAGCTGGTAGCACAGAATGTTCCGGCCACAATGACTTCCGCAACATTTTTCATTTTTTTCTTTTTTGCAAGCCCTATGGGCTTGGCCTAGGCTGGTTAAATAAGAGACCAGAGTCAAGAGTCAACTTTCATTCGGAGTCAGAGTTCTTAAAATTCCCGAAATTTTTTGGTTGTGTTATTTGAAAGACCGTAAATACTGAACACGAAAAAAAAATACCGAACCGACACACAGAGACTAAGATCTGACCTGACATACCACTCACTCATTTGCATCTATTGTTCATTTGTGGTAACTGAACTAACGCGGATATAAAACACAACCGAATGCAATGGTCGATGGCCAGGTAAACGAATTCAATTTGTGCTTCATTGACTTTCGTGATTGACTACAAATTGCGATACAAACTTTCATTGATTTAAAAGCAAGCCCGTGCTTCAAACCAGCAATTATCGATGTCTCCCACATTGATCGATGAAGCAAAAACAAAAGAGAGAATAGCCTGATGCTCTGAAGACAGATCAAAAAACTTTTTTCGTTTGGGGTCAAATTTAACTTCATAACTGCGACTAGGAGAGAGTAAACCTAGTTGAAAAAAAATGAAATTTAGTCAAATAGCAAGCTTAAAACACAATAAGCTCAAAATAACTTGACTCCTGCTTGACCTCTAAAAAGGAACCATTCCTGAACATTTTTCTCGAACAACTGCATTCTTTCTTTGACTGAAAGTCTTCAATTCACACCAGCCAAATTCAAAATTGCACTTAAAACAGGTAAACGAAACACCTGCAAAGGAGGAAAATTGTAGTACTTTCAAAACTTTTCAAGCCGCAATCAGAAACAAAACAAAATTTCAACCTACTCAAAAAATCATCACAATTGCGATACACGAAAAATCAATGTTACAAGAGTGTGTATGGGAAAAAAAGCGGGAAGTCAGAAGTTTTGTCTAAAAAAATTAATACAGAAAATTAATTAAAAAAATTAAAAAATCATCACAATTGCGATACACGAAAAATCAATGTTACAAGAGTGTGTATGGGAAAAAAAGCGGGAAGTCAGAAGTTTTGTCTAAAAAAATTAATACAGAAAATTAATTTAAAAAATTACTAGAAAAAAGTCGAAAAAACACCTACAGAAACTTCATGTTGGTATTGGATAAGTTCATGTACAATCTTAAAAAATTTGAGAAATTTAGCGAGGGGCAAATTTTGGTTTCGTGACAAATTATCCCTTACCTTTTTATCCCAGGCGAAGGTATCCCAGTCAAAAAGAAACAAGAACTTAGAAAAGCCCAAGTCAAAGTAGCCCACGCAATAAACAGAATTAAATATCCCATCTGACGAATCGAAGCAATTAAAATATCGCAATATGAGAATCAAAGGAATTAAAACGAAGATGCAGAAATTGAACAAACTGATCAAAGCAAAGTTAACTTTTGAAAAAGCACGAAATCAAATTCAATTCAAAGCGTGAAAAATGCAACGCATGCTTTAAATCCACCAATCTTTTGAACTATCAAAGCATAAAGATATGACTTTCTAAGCTCACTTGGCATTATGGTTAATGAATATGACTCTTGGTCAAAATATCAAACGATCGGATCACGGTGGATCAAAACTTTCAATTCGTAATCAATAAAACTTGTCTCCAAACCCAAAAAATACCCCTGTACTGGGTAACGGGTATAGGGCTGCGGGGTAAGGGAAAAGGCAAAATTATTGTTGTATAGGCCTCTTTCACCTCCCAAAAAATGAGACCTCTACGACGGCTATAAAGCCAAAAACTTAATGATTTTGGGAAAATCAATTAAAAATGCATCAAAATGCCGACAGTTTGAGAAAATTATGCCAACAATTTGATAAACTGAAATCCAGGAGAGTGCCAAATGAGCCAGCGCTTGAAAATAAATTGCTGTATCTGATTTTTTCATTCGGACTCTCATTGAGTTCTATGTACTTTTTACGGCATTAATTGGTGGTACCACTGCTTGCTTTTTGAATATTGTACTTCTGGTTCAAACTGAATTTTTTCTAAAAACGTATGAATCGAGGGGTGACTGCCTTGAAAAAGCGACGTAACGCTGTTAAACCAGCCTTCAACTGCATTGGTTGTTCGAATGAGACCTGCCGCCGCGTTTTCGTAATGATTCCATAGAGCTGGGGGAACATGCTGTTGTCGACCAAGTGTTTCTCCTTTAATATAAGTTTTCTGGAAATATGATGCTTGCTCGACAACTTGTCGAGGACATCAGTTTGAATGTCAAACTGTTCGGCGGTTTCGCAAATTTCGTCTATGACCAGAGTAAACGTAGATTCGACATCTGAAAGGAAGGTTAAGTCTAGCTTAGTAATGTTTTTATAGGTTTTTTTCAGACCTAACGGAAGCTTTGGCATAAACGAAAATAGCAACCTTTGATTTCAGTTTAGTAAAGGGACGAAAATGCATTCAAGGCAGCCTGTTCGAAGTGAATGAGAAATTTTTCGGGTACGACGTCTCCAATAAGGCTAATCAGGGCCTCAAGGAACCTGTTGTGAGTGCACTCCTTTTTGTTGCTAAGCAAAACGTAAGCGCATGGGGGACAAAAGCCGCCATCTGGATATGTACGAAAGAATGGTGTCAAGAACAAAAACAATTGGAAAAAAAATACTAATTTTTTTAATTCAGCTTTTGAGTTTCTAAAAATATCAGGCCTTTAGACTCTTTGAATTTCCAGAACAAATTCATATTGAAACTTTTTTGATAAAATTAATCAAATGAGAAAACTGGCTCAAAAGGTAAATTCTTTATTCCGCTTAAATTTGATCACGTTTTTCGTAAACTTTAAACTTTTGCTGTTAGATAATGGAGTTAGCCTTTCTTGTAACAAAGGAAACGACATGAACTTTCGAAAAAAATCAAAATCAACCACGAAATATTAAATTATGACTTTTTCCTTAAAAAAAAACAGAATCACCAAGACCTATAAAGAGTTTTCACTTCATTCATGACTCTGTAACATAAATAGAACTTCAGCAAAAAGGCGAAGCGGAATTCTGCAACATTTGCGAAACATCAAAAAAGCATTCCAAGCTACCGGATAATCGATCCAAGCCACTAACAAAAAATATCAGAAACAAGTCGAAAAAACGAGATCAACATAAAACTCATACTTTAGCCTCGAATAACGTTATTTTGGGGAAAAACATGTCAACACACATGCCCCGTTAAAAAACAAGAATTCACACAGAGACCAAGCTGAGCTTCGCACCAAATATTCAACACAAGTTCGAAACTACACGCAAATAAAAAAAGACATTAAGTCAAAAAGGAATATGTTGGAAAAAACGTTAGAAAGCAAAGGTTCGTATTCTCAAAAGAAACCTAGGGGCCCAGTAAAACTTGGAGGGGGCTGTTTGATACTTTTGAATTTGTTTTACTTATGCTGGATGAAATGGGTAATTTTAAACATTGGACTTCGTCCGAAACCTTAGTTTCTTTAACTTTTAAGGAATAGCTATCTTCCGAATAACATAAAACCTGAGAACTGTCAGTGCTCAGTGTTTTGGGAAAAACAAAAAGTTTCCGAAAAATGGTCGAAAAAACAAAAAATTTGACTGTTCCGCAAATCATTCCTTTTTGGGTAAAAACATTTGGACGTAGCCGCTTATCAGAAGAGATTCACATGATCTGTTAATTCGATTCAACGCAAAAACTTTTAGATTTGAGTTTCGTTTTCGAAATATCAAAAATTTCTGAAGACGGTACAAAAACCAATTACAGACTTTTCAGATGGCCAGAAGTTTTTGTAGAAAAAATTTGGACGTAGCCGCTACGCAGGTGAGCTTCCCATAACGCGTTTTACTCATTGAAACCAAAATTTCAGGTTTGGTAGTAGTTTTTGAGAACGAAAAAAATCCAAAAACATGGGTAAACATTGCGTCCAGACTTTTTCGAAGGCTGTAGATAGTAGGGTTAAAGTGCAAAAAGACAAGAAGATTATGCGTGCACACAGGGAAAAAGTCGCTTTTCACTGAAACGCTTTTTTGAACTTCAGTAGAGTAGTTTTCTACTGGACTAAAAATTTTTGTTAAGAAATGAAAAACTTCGAAAGCATTTCAAAAAGCCAAAAATAAACACAAGCAAAGCTTCGCTTCACACAAACACTAGCGAGAACACGACAAAAACCAGCTCTAGAAAGTGCAATAAGAAAAATAGAAATAATCATCGAATTAGCAAAAATTCGGTCAGATCTAGGATTCGATTTGCGGTGTACTGCATCACGCACGCACTAACCACTCAGCCACGCACGCTTAACCACCAACAAACACTAGTCACGAATAAAGCAGCTACATATGCTAATAAATTGTCACTGCCATTCAGCAAAAGTGGCACCAAATACAAATAGACACAACTTTGCAAGTACTATTTTGGAATATAACAAACTGAAGGCGTCCACACTAACTTTGCATCAAACAAACCGCTATGCAAAAACCCACATGTTTAAATTTTGCATTCCGAAAAACTGCGAGATATATATTGAGTCAGAAAATTTCTGAAATCGAGTTTTTTTTTATTGTTATGTTCTTTGAAACAAATAGCTTTTTTGGGTTCATCCATTA